TTCTTTCCGGCAAGATCACGTGGGCCTGGTGGTACTCCCAGCGCTCCGGAGAGCAGGAGTAATGACCGGTGGGTATGGGAGTTTCCGGAAATACGGGACCCTAATATAGTGTCCTAAGTAGTAGGATCCTTATTACAAGGACCTCCAAATAAGGTACCCCTTATTTTCGGAAACTCCCGTATCGTCGTCGTGATCGCAGTAGTCCTCAGGCCGGGGAGCCCTTGTTCATTTCGAAGGCTGGTGCTGCCGAGGACAGGCGCTGTAATAGGGCTTATAAGGGTTTAAGGTTTAGGGTTTAGGGTTATATTTCCGGAGCCGTGGCATTTTTGATAGTGGTGCGGCTGCTAAAAAATAATCGGGTTCCGGCGTCCTATCTGGCTTTCAGTGAGTGGTGATGAAATCATGGGAGAATTGCATGAGAAAGTGTCGAGCTTTGAAGCCGGGAGCCTGGGCATCAATTTGTCGCAGGATGCTGGTTACCTGGCAACATATGGTGCAGATCCTGATGGGAAGGACCGCCGCATCCCCATGCAGCTCTCCACATGAAAAAGCCTTCCGGAGCGAGTCGACTAGTCGACTGATATCACAGGGCCTGCATGTGCATTGAAACCACAAATCAAGTGTGCCCCTGCGCCTTTTGCGTGTTTGTTTGCTTTTTTTGGAAAGGGTGGTGCTCTGCTCAGAAGAAGTGGAGCATGTACTGGCTGTGTGGTCGAAAGATGCACTGGCTTCCTGCCCGTAGAGATCTGGAGCTCATCCAGTCATGCGTGGCTCTCGCTTAAGAATTCGGGAGGCTCCAAGTTCCTTCCTTCTCCTGAGTGCCGCCAACTTGGACTTGCACCCTGGCCGAGCAAGCAGGTAGACAAAAAAGGCTTGTGGCTTCAGGACATGGGGTTCGGGTGGACCATTCAGACTCAGTGTAGAAAGCATGTAGTTCAGGTGCTTTGCAATTCTGTGAATCACCTTCGTCCTGTCTGCGACTCTGCGGGTCGCAGACGAGACCCCATGTCCACCCGAAGAACACAGAAGACATGTTACATTGGCTTGCAGCCCCCTTCAAGTTACGCTGCAGCTGCATCATGACCACGTCTTCTTCGCCTCATTCGAGGCTTTGCCTTGTGGATCTGCCCGGCCGCGTGCCTTTGGGCTTCCATTCGCTCTGGGTTTCTGAGGAGGACATGGCCTCTCAAGCTGATTTGCCAAGGGCGAGACTTTGAGGCTGTCCCTTGCACTCGCTGCTCTTGCGACTCAGACCGGCAGTGTAGTAACTACGACTACGAAACAGTGGCAGGTGTCGCTGCTCCTGCTGTCACAGGGATGTCACAGCAGACTCGCCCCGAGCGGCCACAAAACATCGAGCTTTTGTCGAGACAAGCCAAGAGCAGCGAGATCTGCAGTGGCTTTGCACAGGTTCCATCGTCAGTAGCTCGAGCATCGTCTAGCAGCCTCAAGCCACATGGCCCTCGACGAAGACATGAAACTAAGATTCCTGTCGGCAGGGTATTGGCGAACATTCGCAGCTATGCAGAAGGCCTAGGATTCTTCAAGGTAGCATAAGGCTGGGCGGCTTGGTGGGGAATGGCCTTTGCTCCAAACGCTATCTGTCACCTTGCAGAATGGCGTCTAACTACTAAACTTCGTTGAGGCTTGGTTGTGCATGAGACTTGCCCGAAGCTGCCTGCAGCTGTCCAGAGCAAAAGCGCCAAAGAACGCGTGGCACAGGCGCGCGAGGCGATTCCAAAATGTGTGGAAGAGCGCACCAGGAGATAGGGTCTGTTTTAGTCCCACGGCCCTGAAGCATTGTTTTTGTTTGAATGGTCTGTCTTTTCGGCGCGTAACTGCAAGGGTTTGGTTCAGTTATAGTTGTTGAGTGCTCAGTTTCGAGCTGGATTCAAGGCTGCTGAGGATTATGATGTGGATGCTGGTAACGATGGGAATATGGGTGATCTTTGTCATCAAAGGCATGTATTATGTGTATATATATATATACACAGATATATAACATTTAAATGTATGCACATGCAAGTGTAGAGGCGAACGTGTGTCGTGCACGTACGCGCTGCATGTTGACAGCCGTGCAGTATTGCTTGTTTCCGAGAACAGGAAGCCTGTTGAGTGTAACATTCCTGCAAGCCCGTCCTAAAGGTTTACAACCCCCGTGAGGATTTGAGCCCCTCTGTGGGCTGGGCAATCTGCCTCCCCCCAAAGCGCCGGTCGCCGGAAGGCACTCGGTCGTTCAACGAACCCCTTCTTTGGCCCCCGACCCGGACCTTCGGATTGCCTGCCCTCTCAGAGCCTCCAAGACGAGATTGCTTTGCCCACAGAGGGGCTTTGCCTGCCATCTGCATCCCCCGAAGGCACCGGTCGCCGGAAGGCACTCGGGGAGCGGAAACCGTGGCCGTGGCGAAAGTACCAAATCCTCACGGGGGTGCGGGGTTTCGCAATGATTGCCCAGCCCATAGCAGCCCAGACCTCCCTGGATGCCACAACATTGCTAATAGATGCACAGGGTGTCAAGTGCCCCGCTTGGGGCTGAGATGGTATGCAAAGCCCCTCTGTGGGCTGGGCAATCCCGGTGGTAGGGTCGGCAAACCCTACTTAAACCACCGCGGGGGGGCGGACTGTTTCCAGGGTTGTCAGCCCGCCATAGCATGCCTGCGCAGTGCATCTTCCGCTCTATGGACCCCTTCGAAGCTCTTACACGCGACGCCTAAAACTGAATTTCTGCACTGCGTTTTGAGAGACCCATCGCAATGAAGCAATGTAGGTCAGGTTGCCCAGCTAGCTCCCACACCCGTACAAACGCCTTTGAGCCCTTTATGTTCCCCTCTAGTTTACTCCCTGAGTCCCGACAGGCAACAACTTCACACTGTGGTGCATTTTTCGCAGATGCTGGCTTGATGGTGTGCTTTGCTAACATAGCAGCAATGCTTGGAGCAGGAGCACCAGCACAAGAGTAAGCAGCAGCAACAACAATAAGCAATACCAACACAAAACCCAACACCACCAACAGCAACGGCAACGACATCAACAGCAACAGCGACATTGGCCACGACAACAATAACAGCGGCAACAACAACATCAACAACACCACCACCGCCCCCGCCGCCGCCGCCGCCGCCGCCACCGCCATCGCCACCGCTACCGCTACCGCTACCACTACCACCACCAAGAAGAGCAACAACAACACTTTGAGGGGCCTTTGACGAAAATGCGGAAGGGCTTGCAAATGCAGATTTTGACACATGTCCGAGAAGTAGATTAGAAGCCGGAGATCAGCAAGAGCCCCGAGCTTTGCAGGTCATGGTTCAGTTTGCTTCTGCCCGTGGCCGAATTGGGGAGGGCATTATGTTTGTACTTGTCTAGGGTGTGGCTGTTGGGCTCTGATAAATTTGGAGGCTTGGCTAGCTCGACTAGGATCGCTCTTTTCTGGTTTCTGGATTGAGGACATGTGGCTGAGATCGGAATGGCGATTGCTTCGGTGCGTGTGGGATTTGGGATGCAGGACTTGTCAATGTCCACCAGGTGTTACGGCTTGTCAGATCTTCTGGTCGTACACCGCCAACAGGGTGCCAGGCTTTGAGGGGTGCTATGGCTATGGGAGTTTCGAGCAGCGGTCCGGCTTCAGAACCTCCTGACAGTCCACGCCGGGTACCACAGGCCCCTATGCTCAGAAGCCAAACAGTTTCCACACTTGTCCGATTTGTGAGAACCACAAGAGCCCGACAAGGATTAAGATTACCTAATTACAGGCAAGACTTTTAGCACAGGGTTCATGCTTGGGTATTTTGGGTTTGTAGTTTGTGAAAGCCTTTCGAGGTCGGTAGCTGTTGTGGGCCACATCTCTGGGCTTCGGCACAGCGTCGCGTGGTGTGGGCGCAACAGCCATGTCTTGCAAGCAGGGTTTGGGGTTTAGAGCTCTGCATTCCGATCCTTCTTTGCCTCGCCCTAGCTGAAGTCCATCGGGCGAGGTTTCAATCACCTCAAACTTTATGGCCAAAACCCACCGGAATCCCCACTAACTATCCTACACCTCAAACCATGTGAGGGCCCTAAACCTTAAGCCCTGCCCAGAGGCTCCATAGTAGTTCCTTTTTGAGATTATTTTGTAGGATTCTACATAGGAACCCGAAAAAGGAACTACTATTGAGCCTATGGGTAAATTAACATCCATCGACTGAGGGCTTTATACCCTAAACCCTTGTAGCCATAGTATAATGGGCCCCAAACCCTATTCTAATTATTAAGGGCCCTAATATAGAACCCTACTATAGATCCATTGTATCACATCCATCGACCCGGCTTGCTCGGAGCGCGGAGGAGGACCTTGAGGGCTCTGAAACTCTCCTGAGCCCCAGAACTCCTTCGTCCTAGATTTGGGCGTTTCTCCGAAAAAATCGGGGTGCCAGATTTTTTTGGGGGTCCTTAGTATGAGGATCCTACTATATTAGGGTCCGCGATTTTCGGAAACTCCCACATGCGCTCAACCCTAATCCACAAGAGCCGAAGATGCGGGGCATCGCTGGGAAAACTTGTAAACCTGCCGAAAAAGCGAGACCTCGCGACCTTCAATCTTTACACCCCGAGCGTTGATCTTATAAGCTTAAGCCGTAAATTTCTAGGGCTCAGTCCAGGTCTATGCCACAAGTTGCCATCATGTCTGTTGCCATGTCATGTTCGGCTTGTGTTAGTTGCTGGGATCCGAAGTTTGTCCTATCGCATTACGTTCCGGGGCGTCTGGATGTCATTACTGTTGGCAAACCACTGCGAGTTGAGCAAACAGGTTTCTAAGTGTTGGAGCCCTAGTCCCGGAAATACTGTTGCATGCTGTGTTAATTTCCGGCTCAGGTGAGGTGGAGAGTGGTAGGTGTGCAGGACATGACATAACATAGTGCATCACGACAAAGCTTGATGTAGCATACTACAGTAGGCATATAGTAAAAGCACTGCAATCACAAGAAAGACTCCTGGACAAAGAGCCCGACTCACGTCGACTCGCCATGCGCGAGCCAAGTGCAACTGCAGAAGCAGTGTCCAGGTGGCACCCCAAAGGGCCTGCAACTTCCTTTCCGGCATTGCCGTTGTTGGAGTCTTCAGCCCTAAGTCCTGGCCTTCTACCCTGTAAACCCCAAACCCACCTTCCCTACTATACTCGTGCACACTGTTAACACTACAATTTGACCCGCGAAAATGCCGATAACCCTGCGCTACAACCCAGGTGTGCGTGGGACGGGCCACGGCCAGCGAGGAAAACCATGGCTCGGCTCTGCCGAGACCCGGGGCCTGCAACTCTGACACCGAAGATGTGTCCGTCATGCAGGACCTGGTATTAGTCGAGCAAGTTGTAAGGTTTAGGGTAGGACCTTTAAAAAAAGAATTAAGTAACAAGCTCACAAGGATAGCAACCGTGACAGCAGGACCGTAGCAATAATGCTAGCAATCGTTCAAGTATTCAGACATAATATGGCTTCGCTTTTCTTTTGTTTCTCCTCGAGCTCATCGGGAGTCGGGTTTTCTTTGGCGAAAATCGGAGGACACCGGGAGCCTAGCGGGCCCTCGGCCGAGAGTTTCTGAAGACTTGGACTTTGAAACTGACGGGGAAGTCCCCCTGGAGCTGGGCGTCCAGATTTCCGCGAGCCCGTCGAGAGCAGGCTCCCGGCCGGTTTCTCCCAGACGTCCCAGCTCGGCTTTGGCCGAAGAAAGGGACCCTGGGCTCAAGAGAACCTTCTTGCATTCGTTTAGATTCCGTTCGGAAGCCTTCGAATGTAAGCTTTGACGTTGAATGAACTTAGGATCTCTTCTGCGCCGTGCTCACCATGATGCTCCCCACGCGTGCGGAGTTCGTCCGGGGCATTCCGCTGCGCTCGGCGTTGGGGGGATGCGGGCAGGCTCTGCGAGGAAGCTCCGCAGGTCCGTAACTACAGTATGCTAGGGTTTAAGAGCCTTTATAAACACCAAGTCTCAAGTCATCCTACCTCCTACTGTGAACGCTAAAGCTCCGGAGGTCTGTATCGGCACAGCCGGCCGGTATCCTGCATTGACGTTTTTTGGTCTCACAGTTGGACCACGAGCTCCTGGATGAAGATTGCTACTCTGCGGGTGTTGAGCAGCAGCTTCTGGGCTTTGGAATAGCATACTTTAATACTTTTTTCGGGACCTGCTATTGAAAGGGAACCACTATGAAATAAAAGTCTAGACTTTCTTCTCCCTGGTTACTTCAAAGCCCAGGCTTTGTGCCAACCACCTGTGGCACGCTTGGCGCGATCTTGGCCTTAGCTCTAAGAGCTTTCCATGTCTTGCCTTCACTTGGCAGCGACATTGGATTTTTGGACTCGCAGTGGTGCCTGCTGTTTGGAATGGCCAGTTACTACCTGGCCTTGCTGACGTGGTGGCCGCGTTTGCTCGTTTTCCTCGATGTCGTCTGCATAGACCAGGAGAGCCCAACAAATCCACAATCTCCTGACTGAGACGGGTTTGCTTCAAAGGATCGGCCTCTATCCAGGTCCCAAACCCAGACCACAAATCCCATAAACCCGTTCCCAGCCCTTCTTCAGGCCTGACCGGGGATGGACCTAGTAAGGCAACCACTCCATCGTGGGCCTTATGCCAGCTCCCTTCATCATCATCCTACCTGGACCCCTTGTAGGGTTCGTTAGGTTTCGGAAGACAGATACCCTTCATCTACAATTTACGATGTATATGTATACATACTAATTATATATATATATATATATATATATATATACACACTCAATATATACTCATATATACATATACATATACATGTACATATACATACATGCATCTATATATATATATATATATATATATATGTATTGTCCCTCCTGGTGGCTTAGATGACAAGGGCGATGAGGAGAAGAAAGGGGAGGCCTTGCTCTGCATGGGTGCCATCTTGCCGCTCGGAGAGCTCGGACTCTGAGGGCTTCGGCTTTGGAGTTTTCGCCCCGACTAAAAAACACCTCCCCAAAGGGTCCAAGTATCATTATGGTATATGCTTATAGGGTATTTTTTGGGGGGGGTCTTAGTATATACCATAATGATACTTGGACCCTTTGGGCTCCTTGTGCAGTACTATTTAGGGTTTGAGGATTTACGGGTTTAAAGGGTTTAGGGTTTAGCATTCAGGGTTTAAGGGCTTAGTGTTGAAAGGGTGTCGAGGTTTTAGGGTGTAAGGGCTTAGGGTTTAGGGTTTAAGGGCTTTCGGGTTAGGGTTGAATTTTTAGGGTTTAAGGTTTAATACATGCATACATACAGGCAGAGGCAGAGAGGAGGGACACATATCTGTAGTGTGTGTGTATATATACTGGTTTACGTAGACTTTTTTACATGTGATGTACATCTATACATGTATAGTATAGATATACATTTCTGCACCTTAGATTATGTACACATACACACCTAACTATTGCTGGACAGGTGGACCGATAGATGGATGGACAGATGGATGGGCAGGTCGGGAGGCAGGCAGGCAGAAAGGTAGGTCGATAGCAGCTAGATGATAGCTCGAGATAGGTTCAAAGAGAGATCGCTAGATGTGGCTAGACAGATATGAAGCTTTTCTCGCAGGGCTTCCGGGTTTGCGGGCAGTTTTTGTTCATGTGTGACTGTGCCTTGAAAACAGAACGGTGCGACGGGGCGACCTAAAGTGCCAGCCTGTTTTGGCTTCTGAGGAAAAGTTCATCATCCATGCTGGTCCTTTGGGATCCGAGCCCCTTGGGAAAATCCTAAGCCCTGTAAGCCCTGAGCCCCGATGGACAGCCGAAGCCCAAAACCCTAAGCCTTGTAGAACAGGGTCCTTCAAAAGACAACCTGTAGAAAAAAGGGGAATAGGAGGGAGGGACCCTGAATGGGGATATAATAGCTATGTTAAGGGTATATACCTAGGGGTCCTTACTAAGGGTCCCTCCTTTTACCCTCGGATGTAGAAAACAATTTCAGGTTGCCAATCCCTATAGATCCCTTTAGAGGGACCCTTAAAGGAGCCCTTACAACTACCCCCAACTATCGACATTTCGACATTTCAGGTTGGGCCTCATCCTACTATAAATTAAGGTATATTCCTTAATTCAGGGATAATGGAGTCTCTGGGAACCTGTAAAACACAGTTTCAGGTTGGGCCTCCAGGCTTTGGTGCATCTTTGAGCTCGCCGGCTTTCTGCGCAGCCGGGAGTCGACGGACACGGCACATCGAAACTCGTGAGATGCGTTTTTTTTGTAGGCGAGGCTTTATATCCCATTATATCCCTAAGCCCTAAACTTAGAAGGGCCCCCACGCTGTAATAGTGGTATAGTAGGAATAAAATAGGGCCCTAATATAATCCTTATAGTCACTATTACAGGGTGGGGGCCCCTGCAAACCCTAAACCCTAAACCGCCGGGTTTATATTCATTTGGAGGCTCTAGGATTGCAAAAGCACGCGAAGTAGGTGTAGGGCTTCCAGTCGGCTTAGCCTCTGGGTTTGGGCGCTCGTTCAGAAAGCAGGGGTGGGCTTTCAGGATCGATTGTCAAGCGTGTATTATAGGGGCCTAAATAATTACCAATACTATTTTGGGGGTTCCTTGTTTATACTTATAGTATAATGGGCCCCAAAACCCTGTTCTGATTATTAAGGCCCATATCGTAGGGCGTTATCGGGAGGCTTGATTCGAGGTCTTTGCATGATGTGAGAGGTTTTTGAGAAGCATTCTGTATCAAATGACATGGCTCCTGTGAGTTTGCACATGTTCAAGCGTAGCAACCTTTATTCTGCGCACAGGGTTTCCTGCAGTGTTTAGGTGAGGCTTCGAACCAGAGTTGCAGCGTAGTCTTTAGATTGGGGCATGGATTTCGCCTTTTTTTGCTTTATGACAGGTCCCACATAGACGTTAGTCCAGATGACCGGCAGACAAGGAAGTTTGTCTGTGCGACCAATTCTGATGGGGCCGGTCCAGCTCGTGGGCAGCTTCAGTTTGTATTTGGTGTTGCAACTTAGATTCCAAATACCTAACATTTGGACTTTTTGGGCTCTTATAGTTGAGCAGGAATCGGAAATTCTGTGGCTTATCGGTAGTAAGGCAAAGCTTGCCGGTGCTGCTGAAAGTTGCATCCTCTTTCCTTACTGGCGCTGTGATGGTCATCCTAACGGTCGCAGGCACTTGCTCGCTCGGCTTTCTCTTTCTGGCTCACGTTGCAAGGGCGTACTGCCGCGATCTGGCTGCACTGGAACAGCAACTGGCGGAGTTCAACATCGAGGACACGAGATGTTTCTGCTGCACCGCCAACCATGTGCACCAGGGCCAAGCAATTTCCTGCGACCGTGTCGTGATGTGTCGCTGCATTGAGTCCTGGTTCAGCAGCCTTGAAGATTTCGAGCTCTATGTGAGACATCAGGTGCGGGCGGCCGTCTTGAAACAGCTGACAAGTCCCGGACTCCTGTGCCCCTTCTTAGGTTTATGGTTTCTATCTGGGTTTGCGAGTAGTTCATCTCGGAAAGTCACAGTAAACAGTAACTAGAAGGGGTCAACGGAATGTCACAGTAAACAGAAACTAGAAGGGTTCAACGGAATGTTTCCAGACGGATAGGAGGCGGTTCTACAACTGATCTACTTTCGGGGCCTTAATAATTAGAATTGGGATTCGGGGCCCATGATACTGTAGATATAATAAGGAACCCCCTAAATAGTTTTTGGTACTTCTTTCCGTCCCTATACTAAGGTACAGGCTGGTGGTGGAGGCTGCCTCCCCCATCATGTGGTTCTTCCTCGACCGGTTGGCCTATGCCTTGACAAGGGATTACCTGCAGTCATATCCGCTTTGGCCTGTCTCTGTGATTCTAGTGGCCCGGCATGGCAGAAGTCTTCTTTGAAGTTTCAATTTTGTTGGGAAACCCTTAAGAAGACATGGGCTAGAATACATGCCGAAGACTTCACCCGAAAACCCCAAACCCAGAACGCTTGAGGATGCCTTGGTCTGGTGGCTGGCCGTGCCGCCTGGCCTGATCATCTTTACTGAACGACATGACTCATTCTGGTGATATCTATGTATATGTGTAGTTCTTGTAAATATATGTACATGTATACGTATATGTACATAAGTATATGATGTATGCATATATATATATATACAGATATGTAGATCGAGGTATACATATATGTATCTACATGTACACACATGCACGCAAGTACATGTACATGTATATGTATGTGGCTGTACATCGAAATGCACGCATACATACATCCATACATACATGCGGACTTACACACATACATCACGCGCGCACACGCACACGTAATATAGGGAGAGAGAGGGTGAGAGAGACAGAGGCTTTGGGCTACTGGGCCGATTGGAGGCTAGACCAAGCAAGAGCGAAGTGCTGTCAAGAATTCTGCTTGAAGGTCATTTCCGTACTCTTTGGGAGGCCTGTGCTGTTGAGAAGAATCTTGGGCCTGTCAAGGCGTACTTATAACTATATCTTTATATATCTATACATGTATTTGTATGTATATGTCTGTGTGTGTGCATGTGTAATTGTGTACATATCAGAGTGCTTATACGTGTGTCGGTATATCTCTATATATCTGTATACATCTATATATATATATAGATATATTGGCATCATCGTACTCTGGAGGATGTACAACAAGTCTTGTGCTGGCTGTGCTGTTTGACAGTCCGACTGTGCACCAATACGATGGAACTATCAGTGCAGCAAGGATCGTTCTTGGCATGCTCCAGGAATGAAAGAGTGCAACACTGTGCAGTTTCGTTGTACGCAGGGCAGGCTCCTCGAAGGGCTTGTTTTTCAAGGACGTGATGCGGCACACGGAAATGCTGGAATAGTCACATGCAGTGTTTGAACCGTGCGACTACCTACCTGGAAGATGTCTGCTGTGGGCACTGTGGAGAAGTTGAGAAGTACTTGAGTGAGTAGTCTGACCGCTAATGTGCTAGGACTTAGCGAACCTGCTGTAGTCCCCGAATTTGTACGGTGAAGTGTGCCGTGCTGTGTGCAGTTGCTCAGTCGACCCTCAAACCTCGCCAGAGCGAGTGACAAATACATATATATATATACACATATATATATATATATATATATATATATAATGTGGAGGTCGGTTTAGGAACATAGGCTCCTTTAATGCGTTCCGGTGGGGGCTAATTCCGACCGCCACGACGGTTTTGGCGATTTTCTAATTAATGCGTTTTTTTTTGGCTGGGGTGATTTTTTGGGGGCGGGGCTGTGCTGTTTGCTGATGGTCAATCTTAAGGCAGCCACGACCTGAAGCCCCCACCCAAACCCTAAAACCCTGGCCCTGAAGCCCGAAAATCTCTTGCAGAATTGTTTCGCTTATTGGGGCGTCAGGAATGAAAATCTGTACTACTACTGTACTACTACTGTACTACTATTCTACTATACCTTGATTATTAGGGGGGGGCTGCTAGGGTGAACCGCCGAATCGGGGATTAGATCCTAGCTCAAAAGAGGCCTCTCCAGTACTAAAGTTTGTATAAAAAATTAAGTTTTGGGTCGAATCTGGACCGACCCCCCTTTGGAAGGGTTTAGGGCTTAGGGTTTAGGGTTTGTTATAGGGTTTAGGAGTTTAGGATTCGTTAGGGTTTAGGGTTTGTTAAGGTTTAGGGTTCAGGGTTTAGGGTTTCAGGCGCTGGCTTTATGCTTTGCTTATTGGGGGAATGTGCTCACTGGCTTTATGCTTTGCTTATTGGTACTATTTCTGTACTATTACTGTATTACTACTGTACTACTGTACTACTGTGGTACTACTACTGTACTACTAGTGTACTACTGTACTACTATTGTACTACTACTGTACTACTACTGTACTACTATTGTACTACTACTGTACTATTATCGTACTACTACTGTACTACTATTGTACTACCACTGTACTACTGTTGTATTACTATTGTACTACTGCACTATTTTTATACTACTACTGTACTACTACTGTACTACTAGTGTACTACTAGTGTACTACCACTGTACTACTGTTGTATTACTATTGTACTACTGCACTATTATTATACTACTACTGTACTACTACTGTACTACTATTCTACTATACCTTGATTATTGGGGGGGGCTGCTAGGGTGAACCGCCGAATCGGGGATTGGACCCTAGCTCAAAAGAGGCCTCTCCAGTACTAAAGTTTGTATAAAAAATTAAGTTTTGGGTCGAATCTGGACCGACCCCCCTTTGGAAGGGTTTAGGGCTTAGGGTTTAGGGTTTGTTATAGGGTTTAGGAGTTTAGGATTCGTTAGGGTTTAGGGTTTGTTAAGGTTTAGGGTTCAGGGTTTAGGGTTTCAGGCGCTGGCTTTATGCTTTGCTTATTGGGGAATGTGCTCACTGGCTTTATGCTTTGCTTATTGGTACTATTTCTGTACTATTACTGTATTACTACTGTACTACTGTACTACTGTGGTACTACTACTGTACTACTAGTGTACTACTGTACTACTATTGTACTACTACTGTACTATTACTGTACTACTATTGTACTACTGTACTATTATCGTACTACCTGTACTACTACTGTACTACCACTGTACTACTGTTGTATTACTATTGTACTACTGTACTACTATTGTACTACCACTGTACTACTGTTGTATTACTATTGTACTACTGCACTATTATTATACTACTACTGTACTACTACTGTACTACTATTGTGCTACTATTGTACTACTACTGTACTATTATTGTACTACTACTGTACTACTATTGTACTACCACTGTACTACTGTTGTATTACTATTGTACGACTGCACTATTAGTATACTACTACTGTACTACTACTGTACTACTATTCTACTATACCTTGATTATTGGGGGGGGCTGCTAGGGTGAACCGCCGAATCGGGGATTGGACCCTAGCTCAAAAGAGGCCTCTCCAGTACTAAAGTTTGTATAAAAAATCAAGTTTTGGGTCGAATCTGGACCGACCCCCCTTCAAAAGGGTTTAGGGCTTAGGGTTTAGGGTTTGTTATAGGGTTTAGGAGTTTAGGATTCGTTAGGGTTTAGGGTTCAGGGTTTCAGGCGCTGGCCCAGACCCCCCCGACCCCCGACCGCGCAGTCGCGGAGAACCGCAGACCCTGAGCCCCACTCAGACCCCTGACCCCTGTCCGGGGGCTACCGGTTCCGTATTAAATAGATTTTTTTTTTTTGGTCGGGGGGGGGGGGGGGGGGGGGGGGGGGACCCTGTTATTAAACCGACCTCCACATTACATACACAAGTGTGTGTGTGTGTGTAGGTATACATCCCATAACCTTGCGTATTTGTTTACATACTTGCATGCATATATAAATATATTGACATGTTTTTATTTCTACGCGCACACACACACAGACGGACATATCGATGTCTGCACCGGGACGATCGCTCTAAAACCCATTGCAATCGGACTTGTGACTGTACCCGATGTTTCAGACAGGAATGTTGCAGATATCGGGCCTGTAATGTAATGCTTTCTGTACATAGTACACTTACGGACATACACACACATATACATATAGACATGTATATATATATATATATATGTATATATATATGTGTATGTATGTATGCCTGTATGTATATATGTTTGTATATATGTCTGCATGCACGTGTGTATGCATGTATATAGATAGATAGATACAGGTAGATGATAGATACAGTTTCTGCACGGAAGGAAGTGAACGGCACCACTGACTGAAAGAATCAGCACAGAACACAGACGCGACGAATCCCGGCTGTCTTGCCAAGTTGTGAGTATCGAGCTTTTGACTGTCGCAGCTAAAGAATTGAAGCGCCTCGGAGGATACCAAGTATCATCATCTTTGCTGCAATGGTGGCCTACTCACTCCGCCTGAAGCCAGGCGACGGAAGAAGTTTTTGTTTTACTCCGGAGCACGTCCAGCGTTTTGTGCAGTGTATCATCTCAATCACATCAAGACAAACCACACTATGCATGCCCAGGTAAGCGAAAACGAGGTTAGTAGTAGCGGTGAGAGAGCAAGAAGAAGCAGCCACATTGCGTCTCCCTCTATGCTTCTTGCAGGTCTAGGGTCTGGGGGCTCGTGCGGAAATGCCTGTGCTTGTATTCAGGCAAGAGCCAGCGCACAGAAGCGGGAGTGGAGTTATGACCGAGTGTTGCCTTGTATTTTTGGAAGCAGGTGGCATTCTCATAGACGGCTTGGCGAGCCTTCTGACTGTGATTGCCGGCGTGTTCCTCCTCGTCGCATTCTTCTCCCTTGATATGCTTTGCCAGGCAGTGACTTGGATGAGTTTCGGTGCCCGAAATGTCACACTGGTGAACAACGTACTAGAATAAGACACGATGCCACGATTCTACGACAGGGAGGACTGTTGCACCAGCCGAGGTGATACCTAGTCAGCATCCTGACCTCCTTCCTGCAAAAGCAAGTTTCTCGGTCATCATGGTGATCGTCACTATCTCTGCGCGACGAACCCTGTCACGCATGCGAAACGCAGCGTTTTCGATTTAACTTGTGCCAGTGCGCAAATGCAAATCTGCACCTCAGGCCCTCCGCGGGTCTCAAGTCTGCAATTCCGTGCGGTTGAAATTATTTTTGAAGCACTGAATTTGATGCATGCTGTAGCCACACACTGATGGACATCCAGAATTGAGTATGACGCCTTTCGGACTGTCCACTACTGTAGCAGACCCAGGCTTTGTTGAACACTGTTCAGCATCCGCAGAAAAAAGGTTGCCTCCAGTGTTGGCTACAATGGCAAGTCTAGGGGGCCTAGGGGTGATTGCAATCTCGTTGTGTATTTGGGGTTCAAGGTTTAGGGAGCTTGGCTTGCGTTTGTTTCGCGGTTCTAGGCTTAGGAGGGACAGAGGCTTACGAGGGCATGTTCTGTGACTCTTTCAGAGACATCAGCAACAGAAGTGTCGAGCAAGGGTCGGTGGGGTCAGAGGACACGCGGGAATGTTTATCGGGGCAAGATCATGAAACAGGATTTCCAGTAATTAGTGTGACTTGCAGAACATGCTCGCGATCGTAGTCGTAACACAAGTTTCACGGCCCACGGCTCTTACAGCTGAAGGACTTACACGCAACAACCTTGCCGAGGATTTCGCTGCAAAGCTTAGGCAGTCAAGATGTAGGAAGACGCGACTGCTTCGGTCCACAACTAGAGCTCGATGCTGGGCCATCGATTTAGGGTCAGTTGCTGTGGAGGGGCGGGCGATGTTAATTACTAGTCTAGTTCGGCTTCAAATGTTGGACATGTCGAATGTGGGACTGAAGGAGCTTCGGTGTCGGTGTGTGTGTGTGTGTAGCTAGACAGCTAGAAGTGCCTCAGATCCCGACGTGACAACACCAGCCGCCAGGGTGGCAGGCACCTGGCTCCGCTGCTTGGCCGGAAGATGATCTTGGGCTAGAGTCTTTGTGGATTCCCGGCCCTAACCTCTCAACTCGTCAAACCCGACCCTGAAATCCTAGACGTCGCTGCCCTCGAAGTCGGGATTTGCGGCTGGAAAGTGCTGTCCGGTTGCGAGGTTCCCGACACAAAAGGCGCTGGAACAGAGGACGAAAACAACTCCAGACGAAGACCTTGCAGCACCTAAAAGGCAGTGGAAAGGAATCATGGTACCAATGCATCAGAGCTGCTGCACGCAAAGTGGCATGATAAGTGGAAGAGACCGCAGTCCTTTGTTCCAAGCTGCTTGGCGCGTGGGACGCGGACGATGATGATTAGTACGGAGCAGGAGTTGTTATCGTCGTCGTAGTAGCAGCAGTCCTCCTACTCTTCACGCTGCTGCTTCTGGGCCTTCTCTTGCTGCTGCTTCGGCTCCTGCTCCTGCGGCTTTAAATGCAGCACTACCAGTACCGTACACCACCGCCAATAGGCAAGAGGCTGACCTACTAATTACGACAAGTTAGTTCTATTATTGCCAATCCAGCCTGCATCGATTTCCCTCGACTTCAAGCAGGGAGCCGATGTTCTTGGAGGATTCCGAGTACTTGGAGTCATTCATCTCTTGAACACCGGTTGTTGCAAAAGGTTGGTCACTAACCCCAGTTTTTGCAACACACCTGTATAGAGCCCTTGGCCCTCACCTTCTCCAAAAGCCCCAAATCCTGAGCCATAAGTGAGCCCACAAGACATCAAGATCCTGTGGAACTCGAACTTGGCCATCCTCCCATTATTCACAAAGGCCGGCGACAGCCAAGTGGACCGAGGCGGAGTCAGTTCAGGTGACACTAACTTACGGGCTTAAATAACTACCGATGCTATTTTGGGGGGTTCCTTAGTATAATTATAGTATGGTGGGCCCCATAACCCTATTCTAAGTCTTAAGGCCCCTGTATTAAACGGTTCGCTTCGAAGGGTGACTCGCAAGAATTCGGTTTGGGGATTTGGGGTTTGTGCGTTCCTTGAGATTTTGGTCGGTCTTGCCCGGCTGCCGGCCGGTAACTTTGCTATTTAATTTCATGCTTAGACTCTCGGCCAGAGATTTTCGAGAGGGTTTAGGATTTAGGGCGCAGCGGAAGAGGCAGTGCTGGCAGTCATCAAGTCCGGTTTCAAAAAGGGTTGCTGGTTCCCGGGCGAAGTGGAAAGCCGGTTGCAACAGGGCTGCGTCGGGCAGAGTTTCACGTCTCGGCAGCAAGTCGGTTTCGCTGTCAATTAAGGGCTTGGAGGTCGAGGCACCTGTAGCTTGCAGCTTCTGTGCTGTACTGCAGCTGTTGATTGGATCCTTTCAGTAGACGTCCTGGTCTCCGACACGATCCGAAACCGAAGAAACCCTAAAGCCCCGAACCCTAAACTTCTCCACGCAAGACGGCTTCAAGCTAAGCCTGGTGCAAGAAGAGCGTCTAGGAATCCTCGCCTCGCTCTTCCTACCGTAGCAGAAGATCCACGGTCGCTTTAGTCAAGGGTGGCTAAGAAACGGCTGCAGACTTGAAGAATGCGGAAGACCGGGTGCCGGCTCAACTACCAAGGTTAATCATAATAATAGTAAACGAATACCAACAACAAAAACATGAAACACGAATCACGTCCAGTCATGCAGCGGTGGGGATCGGAAAAAGACAGGCGAGGGAGTCTTCAAAAAGCTGCGGGGAAAACGGCGACAGCAGAGGAGATAGCTGTAATATACTTTACAAATTATGATTGGATTTACCGGTGATCTGGTGGCTCACACTCTACTTTCAGAGCAGTCACGCTACCAATAGCAGGCATGATGCCTATATCCACCTATTGCAGATGGGCTTTGGTATGCCATTTTTTTGGATTCGACAACGGAATAGCTCTCAGCACATGCAAAATCTACCATTCGTCCTACTTTTCTTGCTGCCCAGGCTTGGTGCAGCCAGCGATGACAAGCTTAATTACTTTTCAGGCGCAGCTGCTCGTAGGATGACTTGGGCATTTAGTGTCACGATTGCAGGCATCGGTTTGTCAAATGTTTCAACAGACGTATACTAAAGTTATAACGAGGAACTCCCAGACATAGTATTGGTAATTGTTAAGGTCCCTATAGTAGCCCTGTACCCCAAACCCTGAAGGCCCTAGCTAGACCCCTTGTTGGTGCAATGTGAAACGAAAACCCAGGTTCAGCACAGTTTGTCTCAGTGGTGGTGGAGCTTAGATTGGGACCCAGCCAGTGGTGCAATCATCCTGCTTATCCGTTACTTTGCCCTTGTGGGTTGATAGCAAGCTGTTGGTTAGGTTAGATTGAAGATCAGTATTGGCCGGGCGTTGATGTGCCTTCAGGAGTCATTCACGCGTGATATCATGTGATGGTGTGACGGCTCAGGCTCCGGTGTCTATGGGGCCCAGCAGTTAAGTTAAGCCCGAATTTACGACTGCCTGTTTCTGTTGATACTGTTGGTGGTGTTCAGCAGTTTTCGCATCTTTCGACATGGCCTGGTCCATGTCATCTCGGTGGTGGCGGTGGCATCTGCGCGCGTATGGCGTTGCTGCAGCTGCTGCTGCTGCTGCTGCTGCTGCTGCTGCTGCTGCTCCTTAGTGAGTGCCACAGTGATATACATATAAACATGTGTATATATAGTACCTAAGCAGAACAAGGGTGAATGACGATACACAGGGGCGTCCGGGCCACACCACCTATGCCCATCCAAACCGGCGCTTCCTGTCCCATGCTCGGGAGCATAGGCCGTTCTGGCGCAGTTTGAAACCTACGACGATCACGGCGACCACTCCTACGACGATTACTTAAGCCCCAAAGGTGTTCCCCTTGTTTCGATGATTTCTACAAACTCCTTGGTTGCCGCGCGTAAATTGAGTCCCCAGAGCCAATTTCTCCAGATGGTGGTTATGGATCACTCCAGCCTTCGTCCCTTGGGCCTCCCCGGAAAGGCAGCAGCAGTCTGCATAGAGGTGTAAGCAAAGGTGCACGTTTGATGGTCCGTTTTGGGGTGCTTCAGCAACTCAGAGCATTGCACCATGTGTGGGGAGTTAGTTCAGCGAGCGAGGCAGGAGGACAAGAGAGCAAGAGAATTGAGAAACGCGGATGTATGCTTAGATTTACCTTTTGAGTTCTTGAGGGTTTATCGGTACAGTTTGGCAGGGCAGCAGGGTTTTAAGGCACAAACGAGAAAAGAGGATCGTAATGGCGGTTGAACCAATCTGTAAACCGTGAAACCGGCCGACCCGCACCTGTGGCACCTTGCCCGGCTTGTCCGAGTTGTGAGAGCGAATTACCTCAAAGCCCAAGAAACCTGGAGCCATAAACCCATAATATTATGCAAACTCCTAAACTCTAAACCTCAGCCTCGGCCCTCTTTTGCTGCTCTTTGGTTCCGAGGTTCGTATGATCCGGGATTAAGTTGGGTATTGGGGCTGCATAGTCGAGTCATGTTATGTATTATGTAGGTATGCATATATGTATATGTATACGTATATTATGTGCGTGTATACGTAGGGGTGTATGGGTATGTATATGTATAATGTGTATATGTATGTGTATATCTATATGTCTATGTATGTGTGTGTGTATGCATATATGGGGTATGTATGTACAATCACAAATACATACCTTCATGCACACATACAAGCGACCATACATACATGCATGTATGCACATGTTATGGCTGTTGTTGTTACTGGTGTTAATACTGTTGCCTATTACGTTCGATATAGAGTGCTTCTGGATCTCCGGGTTGGTTTGCACAGGCTAGGGTTTAGGGTTTACGGGTTTAGGGTTTAGGGTATATTCGTGGAAGTCAGTGTTCAGGCGATTGCACAAGTCCTGATGAAAAAAGGGTTTCGGCAGGCAGGCCTGGGCAGGTGCATGAATAGACTAGGATCGGTTGAAGTCCTCGCCATGTATGCACCGCATCGAAGGTTGTTGTTCAAGTCTTCTTCGAGGTTCTGGGTTTCAACTCCATACCCAGGATTGAATCGAGCCTGAGGGTATCAGATGCATAGTGGCAGGGCTTGATGGGCAGATAGACATGCCCTGGGTCGTTCATTGGACTTCGAAAAGTGCACACACTAATGAATCACTGAACGTCCGTGATCCATAAACCTGTGTTGCTGTAGGGCTCCGAATCCTTTCATTTCAGGCAAAACTAACCCTCACCTTGACATAAACCCAAGCCTAAGCGACTCAACCTGCAACTGCTGAACCTGAATGTCAAGCCCCGAATCCTTTTGAAGCTAGATCCCTAAGCCCGCCCTTGCCAGTGACCCTAGTGCTACCTCAGCCCTTGCAGAGGCCCCTCTGAAGCATTTTCTTTCACGACGTTTGATGCCTGATGTTCTTGATGGCTCAATCTCTAACTTCTGAACTAAGCTCTTCTTCACGTATTGCCACAGTCTTGGACATGTCTCACCTCGAGAGACCTCGAACCAATAAATCTCGCCTGGCCTGTTCGAGTGCCGCCGAAAAGCATGAACAAACCTAGACCCTCCATCTACCCTCTATTAGGCCCTAAACGCCCCTTATTTGGGACCATACACCCCTATTTGAGGGTACAAGGAGGGTCCTGGAACCGTTGTGCAACCCTATGAGGCCCCTAGGATGCCTCACGTCTGGAAGATTTCAACACGAGTCACTCGTCAGGTGCTGGCTTCAGGCTCGAGGTCCCCTCAGATGGTTGGGTTTGGAGTAGGGGTTTCAGGGGTTTAAGGTTTAAGGGTTCAAGGGGTTAAGGTTTGAGGGTTAAGGGTTCAGAGTCTGGGGCTTGGGGTTTAGGGGTTGAGGGTCGGTGGTGAAGCTTCAGGAGCCGGTTCCGCTTCGGTTTGTCCCCGGGACTCTGAAGGGGTTCACGAGACTTTTGTGTTTCCCTGATACTTGCAAAGCGGGAGTGAACGCCTCAAATCGACCCGAAACACTCCAGAGGAGTTGGTTGCTCTTTTGACTACGAAAGGTGTCGACTGCATGCTGAACCTACTGGAATGTAACATACCACCCTGCCTAGCGACCCGCCTGGCAATGCAGCAGGCAACAGCAACAAAACCTTTGCTTGTCGATCATGTGCCCCGCATCGTAGGCTCGTCCTCACAAGCTTGGTTGCCAAACCTTGGCTTTTCTGTTTACCTAGGAGCTTCCGACAACAGGAGACCCTAATTCCTTATAAGGACCCCCAAATAAGGTACTCCTAGTTTCCGCCGGAAACCCCCCACCTCCAGCTTCTCTCTCGCGTGGTAACAGCCGGGAGAGTCGAAGCCTAAGCTCTTTAAAGCCTCAAGGCCGCATAGGGTTTACCTATACTCTCCATTGTAGTTCCTTTTTTGGGGGTTTAACCAAAAATATACTTGGGATCCCATAAGGTAGCCCCGAAAAGCCAAAAAGGAACTACAATGGAGACTACAGGTACAGTCGAGGTTAGCTCAGTAGGACAAATATTCATAAACCCAAATGCATCAGACGCCTGGAAACCACGGACAGGGAGACCACAATATAGGGGCCTTAGTAATTGCCAATACTATTTTGGGTGTTCCTGATCATAATTTTGGTATACTAGGCCCCAGATCCCTATTCCATTTACTAAGGCCCCTATAGCACACAGTGTCAGAGTTGCGGACTTTTGTCTGTTATAAAGCGAGTGCGGTTTGCAGCGGTCTACTATATAATAGAATAAGCAACCCCCCATTGCACACGCATGGTTACAACTTACATTATTCCCGAACTCTTGCAACCAATGATCTGAATCCCGCGTAAGTCCTACTGTACAGGTCCCAATAAAGAAGCTCCCGGGTCTTTCTTTATCCCTTCCTTGTTTACTGCGAAGGCAGACTGGGACTGGGCTACGCGTGGCTTCCGCGGCTGGGCCATCTTTCAGGCAGGCTTTGGCGCTTGCAGAGCTTAGGTGTTGCAGGGTTTCGGGTTGGCAGGCAAGCTCGGGAAGGCGTGTCGAGAGGTCGAACTTGGGGCTCAATGAGTACCTGGCCCTGTGTTCTGCTGGGTGGGAGGAACCTCCCATCTGCCCTACGCTACTCCCGAACCCTGAATTTAAATGACTGTCACATGTGAACATCCACAGATTCCTTTTTGGATTGTGACTCGGACGATGCGTTTCGGCTCTTCAGGAGAGACATCAAAGAAAAGTTGTGCATGATAATCCCACTGTTTTAACGAGTCTAAGCCTTAGCAAGTACTACTAAGCTGTTATGATCTTCTTTCTATGGTGAAGAGATTCACTGTGGTGCAGATGCTCTTTATTGGTGTTTTTTGCGACGATGTTTTTCGCATATCGATATGATGTTTCTTTAGTTATACGGTTGTGGGCATACAGGGGTTCGAGGAATGACCTGGCAATCCGATGGCATCTTCGGAGCCAGCGGCAGCCGTACTGGGACATCCCGAGTTTCTGGATGTCGAGCCGTGTATGGACGAGTCAGTTCCACTAGAGAGGCCCGTTGTGACAAGCGCAACAGGAGGCCGTTTGGTGAAACAGTCAGAGGCTCCACATACGGGCTGTGACGTTACGATTACTGTTCAGGAGCCTGATGACACTGTTCCGGATCCACGGGTGGCAGCTCGTCTCGTCGGTGATTTCCTTTCCAAGATGCATGTCACCCGACCAGAGATCATCCGGGCGGTGCCTGTCCGGAAAATATTTCGAGGCCTAGCGAGGCCTCTGAGAGCGCGAGGCGATTACTATCATCTGAGCCGCGTGACCAGCAGCTTCGGGGCATTCTGGTCGCACAGCTGGCATGGTTCTATTTGCAGGAAGATCTTCACTGTGTTCTTCTTTCACAAAGGCACAGCAGCTACCATATTAAGCGTGCTGGCAGCAATTTTCTGCTACATCGCTTTCGGACTTGCGTTTCTTCCTGCTGAAGATGGCCACAGCTGGTGGTGCTTGAGTATTGGTTGTGTCACCTATGTCTTGGTCATGCTTGTGTGGCAACCGCAGCAGCTAGTATTTCTCGATCGGGTTTGCATTGCTCAGTGTGACACTGTGCTACAGACAGAAGGGCTACTGAGCCTTGGTGCAATCCTCAAAAGCGCGGATTACATGCTGGTTCTTTGGGATTCCTCATGGGCACGACGGCTTTGGTGCATCTTCGAACTCGCCGCCTTCCTTCACAGCAGGTCCCCGCGTGAGAAGACCCACATCAGTATAAGGCCGACCATGCTGGGGTTTGCCATTTGTGCATCCTGGTTTGCGTGCGTGCTCGGAGGGTTCGCCTTACATACTGTCCTCTTTGCACTGTCCGACGGCTACAGCTTTCACACTTACTTAATCTTCATGGCCTGTTGCTTTGTGATTTTCTGGTACATCGCGCACTTGGCCCGGGAGTACTGCCGTGACATACACACCATGTGCAAGCAAATCAGGCATTTCAGCATTACCAGGGCTGAGTGTTGCTGCTGCTCTACGGACCACACCGTACCTGGCAGTGACATCCCGGGCACATGCGACCGTGTGATCATCCTCCACTGCATCAAGACATGGTTCGGTAGCGTCGAAGCCTTTGAGCACTATGTCCAAAATGAGGTGTACGACTTGCTGGTGGATCAACTCTCAAACCATGTGATATCATACTGGCGATTAGCCGAGGCCTCTCCCGTTCTCTTTTGGGTCAACCTTGATCGGGCGGCACCGAACCTTCGGCTCTTTTTCCAGAGTGGTGTCAGTCAGCCATCTCACCTCGTCGGCAGCTTGCTCTTCCTGAATGGCCTGTGTTTTTGGTTGGGAGTCTTCCCGATTCTCTTCCGCGTCTTGTTCAGACTGGCTTGGATATTACAAGCAGAGTGCGCTTGCCAAACACTGGATTGGCTCAAGTCCCTTCTGATCCTGCTGCCCGCAATTTTCATTTTCAGCTTGTTTATTCTTGTCGAGAGTGTCCTCCTTCCTCTTCTGCCAGAGCCGCTGAATTTGATTGGGTTCACGCTCATAACGATTCCGCTAGCCGCCCTGGCGTGGAATTGCCTATCAGTACCCTTACCTCACTGAAGCGTGAGATGAGTCAGACAGCCGCAGGTGAAACTCGACCTCGGATTTCGTCTGGTGGGATACTGCTGAGGGGATCGAAAAAAGGTGGCACCTCGCTTTGATACTTGCATGTCTCTTTTCAGTCAGGTGCTGGCACTCGGTCCTCCTAAAGGCGTAAGGCGTAAGCGCATGACTATGCCGGGGAGTGGAATGCAGAATGTTTTTTTGCAGATGCTGTGCGACACGACACCCACCATCCGAGCGCACAGCACATTGCGCAACTGCGAGTACGTTGGCATATGCAACTCTAAGGCCTTAAACCCTCAAGCCCTCAACCCTCAGCCGAGCTTTTGGGGCATCGAAGCTACCTATAGACCTCCTCTTTTGCCAGTTTTTTTGCCAAGGGACTGGGGGTCTGAATGCTGCTTCGAGTGTTTCAAAAAAATCAGGGACCCGGTGTGCAGAGAACTCCGAAGTGCTCACAGGGTCAGCCCTTGAGGGAAGAGAACTCTTGGCCATGAGGCTTGAAAAAAGGGCGGCGGTAAGAGTTACTCCAAGGCTTACTTTAAGGGATACTAGAGTTTTTAAGACGGGCATATGATTGGTTGCTCAGGCTGCTGCGGCGATCGAGTTGCTGTTTTACCACAAGCTTGTAAACCCAACGGCAGCTGGGTCCCCGGCAGACGTGTTGCGTGTGCCCTGAGGCTGTTTGGGCGTGAGGATCCAAACATGTTAAAAGTTTTCAGGGTTCTGAGTTCCGAATCCTAAGCCCTGGAGCCTGAGGGCGCAAAAGTCGCGAATGCGGCAGTAGAGCAAGTCTGGCGTCAACGTGCTCGCCGGACGCGAGGGCCTAGTTGTGAGAGTTGAGACGCGATGAGCTGGCGTAGGAAGTTGCTGCACGGCGAAACTTATGGACAAAGCTGTCCACTTCAGGTACACCCTGAAGCCTAAACCGGGACCGTACGCCGAAGACTGATATAGGGGATTATAATTTATAGCTTTTGTATAATGGGTTCCAGAACCTTATTCTAATTATTACGGCCTAAGTTTTGCAAAAATTGGGATACTCGTCTCCTCTGCCAAGCTCGACTCTGTGCACGTGCCGCAACCCAACCTCTGTACTTGCGAGCTCCTAAAAAACAAACCCTTCGTACTGTGACGGACCCACTATCGGTTTCACATTGTCAGACTCCGCACCAATTGCCTCGCCTGGATTGTCCGAGTGTGAGCGCCGAAACCCTGAACCTTAAACAATGAAGGACTCCCCTCTCGCAACCCTTACAGGTTGCTTCTCAGATGAAAGCCTTGCCTAATGTAGGAACCTGATTAAGAAACCCTGGGCCAAAAGCCCCCAAAATAGTAGGACTTATATAAGGAACCCTAAGACAGGCCCAAGGTTTCTTAATCAGGTTCCTACATTAGATGCTGCTATACTTCAGGGCCTTTGGGCTATACCTTAGCGTTCAAGAACTCGAAGAGTGTACCGGACCTGGAAATCTGCAGCCGAAATCAGTGCAGTGATCAGGTCAGGTAAACCTGGCACTCCTGATCTGACTCTCCATCTCCCAAGCCACAGCTGCTGAGATGCCGGTGATCGTCACTGCCGCAGTGCTGCCATGTTTCCTGCCGGTTTGTGCTGCACAGCATGTAGCCTAATTGAAACGGCGTCCACAGGTGTCGATGTGCTCGGTTGTAAAGCTCCCTTTGCGAGTTACCAAAGGGCAGCTCACACCCTCATGGCCACTGACGTGCCCGCCCCCCCCCACCCCCACTTCCCCCCCGGAAAACCCGGACTCAACCCTAAACCCTAAACCCTACCCATGACAGATAGCTTGCGGAGTCCTGCGCAGCGCCTCGGCGCGGGACCGCCTCGGTGGGGGAACCTTCAGGCCAGCTGACGGCGGTTGGACTGGACTGAACCTTAACAAGCTCTATCAGAGGCCCAAAACGAACGCACCTGGTGGGTCTAAGTTCGGAGGCTCAAGGACTGGTTCCGTACCGCTTCAAGGCTTAACTGCTTCCTCATAGCATGATGCCCCCCAAAGTACAACACCAAGAATGGTGCCCCGCCGCGAAACCAAACTCTATGCCCCCTCCGCCCTTGGTTTCCAAAGCCGAAAACCCCAAGCCCTCAGCCCGAAGCTCCCAGCCTTGAGCCCGAAACCCGAGCCCAAAACTGAAAGCCCTGAACTCTAAGGTAGGGGCCTTACGAATCACCTAATACTATTTTGGTGGGTCCTTCTTATATTTATAGTATAAGGGGCCCCCAAACCCTATTCTAATTATTACTAGTAAGGCCCTTCTACTAAACCCCAGTCCTCCTAACCTTCGGCAGTTTTAGTATTGGCGCTGGCTCGGGCCTATATGGCGTATCATGGAATGCATACGCTGATGTACATACATACATACATACATACATACATACATACATATACACAAATATGCGTTCATCCATACAGGCATATCGATGTGCATGTACATCTACATGCACTGGAAATAGATAGACACCCATATTAGAACGAGCATACATATATACATCTACGTATATACACAATATATACATACATACACACACACACACACATGTAGACCTACATGCACACGGTTATGTATATGAGTATGCAAAGTGTGCATATACAGAAGCATTGATTTATGCGTGCATACAAACATACTTATATGTTCTTAATGTCTATATGCAGTACGGGATGCAGTATATCGGCCGTAGCTGGTGCTTACGGACCTTCAATTGCAGTGTGCAGCAAAAAGTCAACACATCCGGCCTTCGCACTGGCACATTAAAACAAACAGAGCCAGGGACGGAGAGATGGAGAAGTGTATAGTGTTCCGAAATTAATTAGGGAAAAGGTTTCAAGCTTGGCGGTTCACTTCGACGTGAAATCTCGTTCGCAGTGAAAGCTGCCGACAACAAGACATAACAGCACGAGCACTGCAAAGCTTCCCTTCGCTGGGCTAGACCCTGCGTTTTACGCCGCTGTGCAAATCTCTTAGCAAGTTGGAAGTGCCCGGTGAGAGGTGTTATGCAAGTGGAGTGGCTGCCTTCTTTTTGTGGTTACCGATGAGAGCTACCCACTAAACTAAACCCGGTCACTTCGTAGCCCAATAGACCCTTCCTCAACAGTCGGGTCTTGCGACGTGGCACAGAGATGTTCAAATGGCCACGGGCGCCCAAGTTTAGGATCTAAAGTTCAAGCCTCCGAACCTCAGTTCCCGGAGAGGCTGCTGAGTTTGGGCCTCCTTTTCGCCTGTAGCCTCCTCTTCCTGCGGGCTATTTCAAGCGTCGGTGTGGGTGCCTGGCTGGAGGGGTTCCAGGTATAGGCGGTGCGTAGTGTGGGGTTCGACTGATTGTGGCTGTGATCAGGAACGATCATGCTTCAATTCTGGAGAGGGGATAACACGAGTAAGTGAGCCAAGCCTTGGAATTACAATCTCTTGCATCAGTTTCTCTTGGGTCGTGGGTCGTGTTCTTAGAGGGCTCTACGTACTTGGATCAGGGGGCTCTCGCTGAACATGTCGTGGCCTAGCTACTACCTTTACCTTCATTTGGTGCCTCCGAACCCTCAAGCAGGGTTCGAATGATGAGAATCTGGTTGTGGCTGTATTAGAGATTAGAACAGGGTTTCGGAGCCCATTATACTATAGTTATTGTAAGGAACCCCCCCAAAATAGTACAGGTTACCTGTATTGAACAGTTTTATTCGGAGAGGTTTGGGCCTGTGAAGTTTGGTCTGGAGTGCAGGCGGATGAAATTCGGAGTTGCCCCTTGAACAGTTCTTTCTTTCTGTCTGACCGTTCATGGCTCAAGGGTTCATAGGTATGGTCAGTCGTTTCAGGGATGAGTAGGAGCCGTTGGATTCAGCTTTTGGTCCAGCAGGGTTCGAGCTGGCGGATGGAGTTTAGAAGATAGACATTGACACGCAGAAACCTTGAAGGAGGGACACCAGAGAAGCTCAGCAATTCCCCGAACAACGAAGCCCAAAATCCCTCTGCGACCTGCACCCTGAACCCTACATTTTAAATGCTGCTTCGTTTGTCAACTCACCAGCACGTTCGCCCCTTAGAGACCGAGCAAAGCGCACCCGTCGACCTGAGGCGTGCTGCTGGCCGTGTTGGGACCCCAGGGTCAGAATGAGTCGTAACAATCAATGAGCACAGAAAATCAATAAACACAGGTGTGTGTATATATATATATACATATGAATAACTGTATGTCTGTATATTCATACATGTGTATTTATATACATACATACATACATACATACATACATACACATATACACATGCGTGTAGTTATTTCTGTGTGGCCCCTTCTTGTCCCTATATTATATACATAAATGTGATATGTTTTGAACCTTTTCTAATTATCCTTTTAAGCACACGACAGGGAAAGGGAGGGAGGGCCTTGAAAGCCCTGGTCCTTATCATGCTGGGCCGTTCGTCGAGGGCGGTCAGTGATATGATCCCAGCTGTTGTTTCTCTTTTCAGGTTTGGGGTAGTTTAGGAATCTAATTCTAATGACTGAGGACTGAGTTCCATAAACATCGGCACTTCGAGGCCGAGGCAACTTAGAAGCGAGAGGCCAATCTCTTGGCTGTACAGCCCACGACCTTGCACCCTCGCCTGACCCCTAAGCCTCAAGCCCTCAACTTTGACGGACTGGTCAATGCCAAGGGCCTCCAAAGGGCCGGTCTCGTCCCTCCCTGAGATGCCCGGACTTCGGGGAGGGTTTGGGATTGGGATTTGGGGTCCTGCAGGGTTGCGACTTCATAGGGTGTTCACAATGGTTACAGGCGTTCCTGCTGTCGTGGGTTCCACACTGGCCAAGGAGGGTTCTTCTGCAATGTGAGATGACCAGTACTGTGGAGTGTTCTCGCTGTTCTGCGCTGGTTGCATGGCTGCCGGTTGGGTTCCAATACGGGGCTCGCTGACACAGTTTTTGTTGACGAAGTGCGCCCAGTGCACGAAGGCTTTCACGATTCGACTCTTGCCACGAAAGTAGAAAAGGTGAGGCTCGCACCTGTATACATCTTGCCAATTCAACATCTCGCGGCTGAAATACTTCTCGTTGAGCTCCTTGAGCTCATAACTCCTATAAAGGGGACATTTATAACCCACTTATAACTACCCTTGAACTCGGATCTTTAAACTTCAAAAGAAACCCCTTCTCGCTGCTCCGAGGCTTCGCGTGGAAGCCCTGCTACTGGCACAGGCCTCTCAGTGCTGAAGGGGAGAGGTGTAATATAGGGGCCTAATACGTATTAATTAGCTAGACTATTTTGGGGGTTCCTTATTATCCTTATAATTTAATAGGGCCTCTATATCCGCGAGTGTCTTGCTTCACCCCTTTGCCTCCGGGCAGCCAGACAAGCAGAATAATGCGCATCCCGGAAAGCTTGGAATTCTCATGCGAAAACACGCGAAGTCGTGAGCGAAAGTTAAGCCGGTGCATGCCTAGCCACCATTCGTCCAGCTGGTGAGGAGTAGAGTTGGGGTATCTTTCTTGCCTATGAAACCTCAGAGGCTGCATTGAATCTTTCACGAAGCCAAGGCCGGGTACACCTGCGCAGTTGCAGCATGATCCATAGGATCAAGTTGCGAGAACCTCACCGACCGTACATGTTAAGAAACTCTGGCAAACAGACCGTTGAGAATTGAGCTAGCAGCTAGCCACCCGAGGAGTGGCAGATTCGTGCGGGACATCGGGTCCTAAACCGCCAGAACCACTCAAGTCAGCGCCGCACAACCCCAAGAAACTCTTCGTAGCCATGGTTCCTAGGCCGCTTTTCGGTTGCAACGATTAACTAAGTTGAGGCTTCCGCGTTTGGGCCTTCCCTTTCAAGGTTCTTGTTGATCTTGCTGCTGGGCCATGGAGCCGACACAAAACTCGTTAACCCATGCCCGTTGACAGGTTTCGATGCTCAGTCTGAGCCTGTGGCAGTGGAAGCCACCTTGCCCTGCAGACCCTAAACCCGAATCTGAGTCTGCAGGTGCCGATTCTCTTTGTCTCCTGCTTCGGTTGCAAGGCGGCGTACGGCCGGGAGCCTAAAGCTTCTTCTAGATTCTAGCTTGGCGTCTTCGGTTTTTTTTACTAGGCTGCACAGCACATTCTCCGGGTGCTTTGAGCTTCGGCTGGGGGTCTCCCTCAACCAGCACCCACCCTCAGCTTCGGGCTCCTCTGGTGGAGTTTGAGGCTCGGGGCTTCGAGTGCAGTGTCAGAGTTCTTGCACGCCCGGCTCACGAAGTAGGCTTTTGGATTCTTTCGGTTTGGGGTCTAATTGGTTTGAGGCAGACTGGACGGAGGCCTGGATGAAACACAGGGTGTTGGGGTTCAAGGTTTTGGGGGGTTTGGCGTTCGGCATCTAGGACTTATGGTTGAAGCTTCCTGCTGCTTTTCTATAAACGCACTCGCCCGACGTTACATATTATTGAGAAGAAGAGATGTTAACTACCGGCATGATGTCTAACTATCCTTTTTCATTTGCTTCTCCAAACCCTTAAGCCGAGACTGGGCAACCAGTGTTGTATTGATGCACAAGCCCTGGAAGCCAAGCCGGCTGCGGCTGTGAGATTAAGCAGCGGTTTTGGTCGTGTTGGTCGCGGTGATGGTCGCAACAGTTGCAGCAGGCGGAGGAGCAGGAGTAGTATTATCATTATTGTTGTTATTGTTATTAGTATTGTTTTGTCATTAGTACTACAGTATGAAGTAGCCCATTTGTCCAACATAGTGCTGTGATCGGGACAGCATCCAGCATTTCTACGGCGACTGCTAGGCACCCTGGCCAAAGAGGGCCTTCCGAAGTTCAAGATGGCGCTCCGTGCCGAGACTCGGAGGAAGTTTGGTTTGTGTACTTGCTTGGAGGAGAATGGGGGCAAGTTCTGCTTATGGCATTGCAGAAGTCTTGGGGGCTTTGTTGGTTCAGTTGTTCACGTTTAGTTTAAAACCTACGGCAGCCTGCGTTGCTACTGTCACAAATTGTGGAGTGGAAACATTGGTTTGGGTATGAGTACTGAGGATAAGGCGGTAGTTCATCATGAACGGGTTCGTCTGTGAGATGTGCATCCCCGATTTGTTCGGGCTTCAGCTGCAGCTTCGAACCGAAACTCCACCCCCCCCTGCCCCCTCACAGCCCCTGTGCACTGAAGCTCTCGACGGCAAATCAACAGCGTGGCAAGCTATTGCGTTGCTAGCCGACATGTCGCAGCCATAAGGCCTGTGCTCAAAGTTCATTTGCTAGAAGGCCCTGGGTTTGAGCTTTAGAACACCGAACCGTCGGCGAAATGGTAAGCGATCCGATTTTGGAATTTCCGGGTGATTAGCAATGACTAGGATCTTCATGTTTCGACACCCACGAGTCGACTGGGGTGTCTTTTTTGTGCTCGGAACTCCATGTCAATCCTGTACAGAAGCTCTTGTTACCCACATTTGAAATACTTGTTTTCAACTGAGCCTCCTGTTCCTGGACTTCGTTGGAGTCATGCGGTTCTTCCTAGGTGGATGTCATGCATGTCGCCCAGATCCAAAACACAAGCTGTTCTTGAGGAAAAAGGCCGCAAGTGGCTTCTGACGCTGCTTGCTGCCGCTGGGCCGAACGTGTGGCCAATCGTCACCAGCAGGGGGGGATTCAGATAATATAGGGGGCTTGAATAATTACCTATATTGTAATAACTTGTGTATCGCGGGCCCCAAAACCCTATTCTAATCTAAGCCCCTATCCTATGCTATATGGGTGGTTGTCAAAATTATGGTCCTTTTTTGGGCACCCTAAAAGGGATCCTAATGTTGACAACTGCCCATATAGGTACTTGACCTGTACGTCTAGTCACTAGTCAGCATTCTTTGTTTGAACTGAGGAGTGCTGCAATGTGATGTTGCATGTAGATCGCGATCGCCAGAGACGTGAGTAGGAAAACATGGCAGTCTGTCAACTCTCTTTGGCCTTTGGCATGCTCAGATGGGAGATCGCAGCTTCCCATTCTGAACTAGCAGTACAGAGGGCAATTTGCAGCCTTTGACGTGTGATTTAAGGCGCCTTCGTTTGGACAAAGCCTTCCTGGAGATCTCCGCGAGTAGTTCTCTCCCTGACAAGCGTCTTGCTGACACATGCCTCCATGTAGTTCGCTCTCCGAGGGCAGAAACGGAGGTAGGTAGCTGCGCACTTGGCAGAAGACGATCGGCAACCTTTACAGGAAGTCAATTTAGTGCCTCTTTCACGCGAAAGCTTTATCGCTTGTCAACAATCGCACACTCTGCAGCACGGATGTACTACTGCCTTCGATAGCCGCCTAGACGCCTCCGAGCACTTCCTGTGAACTTGCACTCTCAAATCGAGAAACCCGCATCAAGTTGAGGTTGGGTACTTCGTGACCAGTCTCCACCAGGTCGGACATCGTGGGTTCAAGTTTTGGCGTACAAAGATGAGGCTTGAGAGTTGGGCGTTTATGGTTTGAGGTGTGGGCTTGAAAAGTTCGTTGTGTACTTTATAAGGGCTGAAATGACGTCATATCATATATGGGCCTCAGTTCGCTGAACGGCTTCTCATATCGAATCTCCCTCCGTTGAGCCCTCTTTGTGAGAAAGATATGATCTACCCCACGCCTTTTCCACTTATTTGGGCCAGGCCTTGGGTGTGTTCAAGAGAGTTGGGGCCAGGACGAAGTTTTGGGTTTAGGGACGGTGGGACTTGGAAGCTAGAGCTTCGTATCAACTACGGTAGGCAGGCGATACAGGCATCACCAACCCTAAACCCCTAAACGCGTGCCCTGGGAAATCCTTTCGCACTCCGTGCCCTGTCAGCCTGCAAAGCCCCGTGCCGGTGTGAACCCAAGATCCTCACATGGCCAAGCTCTGAAGGTCCAAAGCCTTAAGCCCCACACCTCTACGGGAGTTTCCGAAAATAGTGGGCCCTAAGATAGTACCCGAAATTCCTAAATAGTAGGATCCTTATTATGAGGACCCAAGCGAAACCTGCTAGGAAACCCCAGCTCTTTGTTGGGTTGGTGCTCCAAGCCCGCATACACCTCGAATGCTGTAGAACATTACAACATATGTGTATGCCCAGCATATATAACATCACTCTAGTACAACGATCTACCTATCGATCGGTGTATCTATCTCTCTCTGTATAGGGAGAGCGGGAGAAAACACGATTTCTGGCCTTCAAGTGAGTTCAAAGAGCCTGGAGGTCCTCTGGGGCAGCGCCTCCCTCTTCGGTGGTTTCCCGGCGCTTGGAGCCCTCCGTTGCTTTGTGGTGGCCGTCTGTGCTCACGTTTGCTGCGGCCTCGGCCTATGGGACACGGCTTCGTAGGCTCGTAAGTTGTCGGTGAGAATTCGTGCTTGGGTCTGTCTTTTTCTCTACCTGGCGATCTACCTATCTATCTGAATCCATCGTTCTACTTATCTCTCTCTCTGTTATGTATGTACAATGACTACAGGTTCTAACTGCTAACGTCAGAAAATGCAAATGACCTGGCACCGCAGACCACCCTCTGTAAGCCGTGAAGCCCGGATTCATGTGCACCGGCTTGGGTTCGTGGGACAGGCATTTATGGAGCCAACTTCGAGCCTCTCTCTAAACCCGGGCCTGCTTATGGAGCAACCAAACCTTCACTGCTCAGAGCGGTAGGTCGAAACACCCGTCGTTGTCACTTATTGGGTTCAAGCTTAAGTGCGTATAGTTCAAGCATTCTTGTCTCACATTTAGGGTTTCAGGTTGTGAGCTCAGGACTAAGGGGGTGTTGGATGTAGGGCTAGGGTTCGGGCTAACAGGGTTTTGCATAAAGGGTTTGGGTATTTGGACCCTGTCAACATTTCCTGTGTTTGGGTTAGTAAAAGGCAAGGGTTTCTCGGATTCCTGGTAGCTTATCCTGTACAAGGGACTGTGCAAGGAGTTGCCATCCAAAACGCCGTTTTGAAAGGTAGGGCTGATTCTGCATCCCACCTCGACCAACATCTAAACCCGTAGCAGGTAGCAGATGCACAGGTTGGTAGAAAGAGTTAGGCGTCCGTGCAGCTTGCAAGTCGTTCGCATTAGGGTATATACGACTGTAACAGCAACAGCTGGAAGCCGTCCGCAGCTTTACACGCCAAGTCATGCCAGCAGCCATTCACTGCACAGTCCGCAAACTTTGCAACGCACCGAAATATCGCAATAACTGTATCTTCGGTTTAGGAGAAAGCAGTTACCAGCTCGGGACTGCAATCGTTCTAGATGCAGTAAACAAGCGAGACAAGACCAGTCAAAGTTGCATTGGTTTTCCATACCTTGGCCGCCGCGCCACACCCTTTCTTTCTTCTTATTGTTATTGAGTATGTTCTGGGTTGTAAGAGCAAGCAGAATATGCGTGTGTTCCCATGGCTTTCCCGAGTCAAAACAGTTGACACCGAGTTTAAAGCCTAGGGGGACGACATGTGAACTTATTCGGAAAGCTGAAAGGCTTTCTGTGAAGCCCTTGCAAACACGAGACCCCTCTAGACAAAGCCATGTACGCGTGCTGCAATCATGGCTCCTGCGACACTTCATCGAGGATCGGAGATGTAGTTGACCAGATTTGTAATCGTAGCTAATGATAATGGTCTGAAGCTGACAGGGCTGGAGGTGGCAGGCTTCCTTTCTTCAAGTTCGCGTCATCACTTTAAGAACAGCCCATGCTTCCTTGTTTGGCACTCTTTGCATGGACTGGGCTTGGGCGGTGCCTTTCAGATGCTCTTTCATGGGGAAGACGGACAGGTTTTGCAATCTTTTTGTTGGTTTCCAAGTAATCCTAGAAGGTCCCGAGGCTCGTGTGCCCTACAGCAGAGCCCAAAGGACTCACTGCAGGGGTCCTTCAACGGAGCTTAGGAAAAGGCCTCAAGGATTCAGGGCAGGGTTCCATGATCTTCGCTGTGCAGAGGCTGGGATGTCACAACCCCCTGCGACTTGGAAGATGACGGCCCCTTGGCCTTCCGTCCAGCTTTGGGTTGGGAGTTGGAGGGTTTTGCAGGAGAAGTTCAGGGGCTGAGGGTTGTACGGTTCAGGACGAAGTGCTTCGGGTCTAGGCTCAATGGATCTCTACGCCTTCGGGTTTGGGACTTTCTCTGAGGGTATCACCAAAGTCACGTCGTAATTGAAACATGGCCAATGACAAACTGAGATGGAACGGAATATGGAGGAGAACACTAGACAGTGTAGGAGAGAGAGAGAGAGAGAGAGAGAGAGAGAGAGAGAAATAATAAAAAATTGAAGGTTGAGGAGCGGGCAGGGACAGCTGTCGAGCACTGCAGCTGCATCAAACAAAAGTGACTGAACAGAGCGAGCAGAGTCGCCAACGCTGCATGAAGTGCGATGCAGCATGCACATTTGGGAGTTTCCGAAATTAGGGTTACCTTAATTGGGAGTCCTTCTAATCAGGATCCTGCTATTTAGGGTACTATATTGAGGCCCCTATTTTGGGAGGCTCCCATTTGGACTGTCTTGTGACAGTGATGCTTCTGATCGCTCGTACGAGTATGCTTGGAAGAGTTTCTTTAATAACCTAAGAATCCTCAAGCCCAAAAGGCCCCAAGCCCCAAACCGCCGAAAGCCCATCGAACTCAAACTTATGTTTGAGGCCGGGTTGCTTCCCTAAGTTTCTACAGGAGTCCTCGACAAGAGTCTCCAAAAGCATCGCTTCAAAATCCAAGGCCAGGTTGCTTCGTACTACTCCAAGAAGGCTTCGAAGGCTGCCGATGCTTCGAAGGGCATCGGGAACGAGGAGCTCGGGAGAAGGCGCACCTGGGCCTCTTGGCTTCCTCGCAGTGGGTTTAGGGTTTTTTTTGGTTTCAGGGTGTTGTAGAGTTGAGGAGTTGAGGTTTTAGGATTTCTTGGGGAGGTAGGAATGATGGGTTTCAAGTGGCTTATTTTAGATTGTGAATAAGGCATGAGTGCTTAGGGTTGGTGGGGTAGAAGCAGAGGATTTCAGTGACTCAGTTTGGAAGCAAGTCTGGGGCGCAGCGTAGCGTCGAATCTTCGTAGAGTTTTCAGGGGCCAAAAACCCTGAACCCTTCAAGCCCTGTTAGTGTATTTACAGTACCGCAAAGCGCTACGGCTAGCAAAGTCAAAGATGATTCGAAAGCAGCTCATGTTGATAAGGTCTCGGGCGCTCGGCGCCATGAGTCTGACACTGGTTATGCGCCCGGTTTCTTGATGCCAGAGAGAAGCGTTTGTTGATAGAGGTTCAATTGCAGGTTTCATATTGTAGGGTTTAGATTTTAGGATTTCGAGTTTCGGCACTTTGAGTTCTGGACTTCACGAAAGGATTTGGAATTTGGGGTTGAGGCTTTGGATGTTATAGCGTGCTCAGCCCTGGGGTGCTCTTCTAGCAGCCTGTGCTCCACTTGATGCACCCGCAGTAGGACGAAGCTTTCTATCAGTTTGTCTTTGGCAAAAGTACTCACACTGCAGAGTCCTCATTGCATTCCATGATGTCGGGTTGCAATGTGTGTGTTGAGGCTCTGCGCGGTTGGATAGCACCAACGGCGTGACGAGCACGGAACGGATCAGCGGCAATCTGAAGCACTACTTTTTCGTGTCTGCCGATGTCCCACATGAAGAGGACTGCCTGTGCTGTGGGGCTGGTTGCAGGGATTTGAGTTTGTCGGGGGAGCCCCAAGTTTGGAGGACCGCGCGGCATCTCTCCCGGACATGAGCTTGGATGGCGGATCGGAGGAAGAATTTCAGTCCTACTGGGAATGGAACTCGCGAAACACGCGGGTGCTGAAGGATGGCTGGATAGAGCGAATGGCTCATCCGCAAGTGAATTGCCAGGCATACTGGTACAACCATTCTACAGACGAGACTACCTTCGAGCAGCCAGCCGTTTGTGAGTCTGGGCCGAATTTGGTTCCGGCGGATCTTACGAGCGACTTCTCGCAGGAGGGCCCTGTGTGGACTTTTACCGCGCCTGAGCTGCGACCCGGCTGCATGAGAAGCTGGGTGTGTTTGGGACCTTTTTGCAGAGCTTGTCTTGAGCTCTAGTTTTGTCAAAGGTGGCCGTTTCTCGCTCAGGAAAGCAATCATGAAGGAGGGGCATGCCAGTGACTTCGGCTTTTCAACAGAGGAGTTGGCTCGCCGCGCGTGCTTCGAGTTTGAATCGTGGCTCCCCCGCGTGCTGTCCTGGCATGACTATCAATACCGTTGCTTCTGGTTCTTCGGCGGGAAAGACAGCGCAGACAAAAACCGAGATTCTGGAGGGAACGCGAAAAGTTTTTTCAGCGCCGACGCAGAGGCATGGATTTGTCCGTGCCGTGTTTGCGGTATAGACTCTGCTACTGAAGATATTGCGACGTCCTTTTCCATCTACCGGAAACCGTTGACAAGCTGTTCGGGGCTGCAGCGCACTAGGGGACTACTTCAGGTTCCTGTATACAGGATCTTCTACCATGGAGGCTGAGCAAGACATTTGTGCAAAACATAACCCAGCAGGCGAGTCGGCAGCTCTTTGCAGACGACGAGTTTTTCGAAGCTTGCACACGGCTGCTGTGCAAGCGGTGCCTTGGTAGAGTTCTGTTATTTGTTATATGATTATTGTTATTAGTATTATTATTATTACTATCATTACTATTATTAGTATGATTATTATTACTACCATAAGCGCTACACATAGCAAGCCCCAAGGACGCGAGACCGCCTCAACAGCCTCAGAATAGGCTTCTCCCGCAATGCCGATACCTGGAGATCAGAAACCCTAAATCCCGAGTTGCGAGGGAGTAAGTCCCATTGGCCCAATGTGGGAGTTTCCGAAAATAGTGGTACCCCATTTTGGGGTCCTTATAATAGGGATCCTACTATTTAGGGTCGTATATTAGGTCCCCTATTTTCGGAAACTCCCATGTATCTAGCTTGGATAGTCTCAAGTCCTCAAGAAACGGCGGCGGCGGGGGGACCCAGGCTGGACAAGATGCACCCGATCAATCTGAGCCTTTGCTTTTCCGGCCGTGAGGATGCCGTTTCAAGATTTGGGAGTTTCCGAAAATTAGGGGTACCCGTTTTGGGGGTCCTTACTATAAGGATCCTATTATTTAGGGTACCATATTAGGGTCCCCTATTTTCGGAAACTCTCATTTGAGGGTTTGGGCTTCAGGCTATTCTAGTTTCCAGGTTTCAGGCATCGGTGGATCGCACCAGATCGGGCGGTGAAGCAAGAAGCCCGTAGCAAGAAGGAGCTCTGGGCTATGATGTGCCGCAAAGATGGCTCAGTAGCGTAACCGGGGTCGCTACGAGGGAGATGCGGGAGAAGCTGAGGACTTATTTCGT